CCCCCCCCCCCCACACACACAAAACCCACCAACAACAACAACAACAAAACAACAAACAACAACAACAACAACAACAACAACTACAGAACAAAACAACCAGATCGATTAAAAAGTTGTGACTTGGTGGATCTTTCTTTGTCCACATGGTAAATACACCTGCAAACATTAACCCAAACCTGTCCATGAACAACGGAAAAAATTGACCCTCTGATGCCACAACCTCTTCCCCCATAACATTCTTACAGGCATTCCACAGTTCAGACCTCAATTAAATTCAAACCCAAGGAGCAGGAGCGCCAAAAAGAAGTGAGAATTTTAACCAGGTAAGAAAACCAATGAATAAACAAATCAGAAAACTCCAAAACATTCAGTGTGTTAAGTAATAATTCTTGTTCGTGCCAACTATGAAACTACAGAAATACGAATGACTGTATTTGATTGATGCAGAAGACCTGGTGGTGAAATTTTACCTCTTTCAAGCTTCAAACGGTAAAATGAGCTGGTCGACTCTCGTCCTAAGGTGATATCAATGCCTTTGGAGCAAGTCACGCCACTGGTTCCACACTGTACATTTTTTGTTGTGATGACAAATTTGTCTGGATTGTTGTCAGCAGATTGAGCCAAAATATAGTCGCATGACCCTTGGAACTCGTAGGAGAGTTCATCGAATGTGGAGTAGTGGGAATCACCGTAGGCACTGCACGTAGCCGGGCATTCATTATCCTCACACTGCCACACCTGACCTCTACATACGCTGAGAACAAGAGACAATGACGTCTTAAATCTGACAGTAGAAATCAAAGACAAACACAAGCGATGCATTATAATTCATTTAGCAACAATTAATATCAACTTAGAGAAGTTAACTCAACTGTAACGATCCCATCAATACAAATAACCGACCGATTTTAAAAAGAAAGGGCAAGGAATTCATGAATAAAAACCAAAGTGTTAAGTATAACACTAGTTCAAATCATATAAAGTACAGAATACGTTTAGTAAATTCAGCACTAAGGGAAGGCCTAATATATTTCAGTATAGTAGCAATTCTGACAAGAAAGTACTACTTACCATTCGTTGCAGTCAAGAAGCAGCGAATCCCCCTCATAGTAGGATTTACCTCCATGCTGACATGGGCACATAGATTCTTTGACACACTTGTCCCCATCTAACACATAGCCGTCTATGCAGGCACAGCCTGGCGTACAGGTTGAGACATCACAGGTAGACGGAGAGTCCATATTTTCACAGGTGAGAGGGCAGTTAGATGGACAAGCGTTGTACTCCATGTTCGCTGGACACAGAGGCTTGATGAATGGCAGTTTGCGATGGTCGCTGTACCTTACTTTGTGGCACTGCCACTGTGCACCTGCGCACACGCTGAGAACGTAAAGAAACCCCCCCAGTAGAAATAACATATTAGATAAGCAATTTTACTTCTGGCCTGTTTGCTCTGGGGAATCAAGATGTCATTAAGAGCAAACAAAGAGCTCGTACAAATGAATATGTGTGTGTGTGTGTGTGTGTGTGTGTGTGTGTGTGTGTGTGTGTGTGTGTGTGTGTGTGTATGTGTGTGTTTATGGTGGTGGTGGTTGAGGAGGGCGGGAGTTTATAACAAACACATTTTTCCAAAACAGGGTTTATTTTGCTTACTCAAAGGGCTTGCTGCTGTGCATCTCTTTATCAAAACAAAATATCATACCTTTTAGAAACAGAAAGTACCCTATAACGGAAACCGGTATTGCACAACGGGGTGACTAGTCACTATGTAAAATAAAAAAGACAATTACCATATATCTGTTCCTTTCAGAGACGTATGACCAGCAGGATATTCACGGCCATCGAAAATACAGGGACACTCTTCAACAGGAACACATTCCCCATCATTGTTTAATGACTGACCATCAGGACAGTTGCAGCCCTCAACACACTTTTGGTCACATAAATCGTCGGTGTTTGCTGCAAGATCCCGGCAAGTTCTCTCACATGGACGACCACATACCTGATAATGTTGTCCTCCAGGACATTTCAGCTCTGTGAAAACAAACAAACAAGGCTTAACAACCATTTTAAATTAAACTGAAACTTCAAATTCTTTCCACTGATAAAGAAAAGTGAGAATGAAATAAAAAGTCAAGCCAAAAACCTGAATATCAGAACCTCTTACTGCACTAAAACGTTTGCAGGATGTAAATTAATGTTCTAGTTCTTCTGTTGTAATGATAGATAATAGATAAAATTGTAAAGCGCATATAGCTTGCTGTTGAGCGGTGATATGTGATAAACAAACGCTATTTTATTTTATCAATATCATCATCGTAATAAAACTGTATGCTAGATGAACTGGTCAAAGGTTAATGACTGAAGTAACAAATTTTTACTGCGTAAGCAAGTCAAAAAACTGTTCTCTCAATCCTTGGCTAAAAGAAGCCATTTGCCGGTACAAAAAAAAGAAGGAAAAGCCTAATTAAGAGAGCAAACTCTTCTGTTGAAGACAACAAAGCAGACGGTACAGAAACACACACTCAGCTATATTATATCGCCGATGAAGTCAATAAAGAGTTCTTCTTCTTCTCCTTCTTCTTCTTTTTGAAAAAAAAAATCAATATTATCATTATCATTATCATTATATTTTTCTTCTTCTTCTTCTTCTTCTTCTTCTTCTTCTTCTTCTTCTTCTTCTTCTTTTTCTTTTTTTTCTTCTTCTTATCATTATTATTATCATTATTATTGTAGCTGTTGTTATTGTTATCGTTATTAATATTATCAAATTATTATAATTTTTATTATTATGATTATTGTCGTTGTTGTTAACATTACTTATACACCAAAAAACATTTCAACTTACGGCACTCGCTGACTTGGTCTCGCCAGTTGACCAAAACGCCTTTAGCAGCGCATGTGTCAGCGTATATTCCAAGAGTGGGGCACAGGCAATCAAATAGGTTCTGTGTACACGCACAGAGATCGTACATACAGTCCTCATAATACAAATCCACATCCTCAACATCGTGACAAGCTGTAAGAAGGAAATGTTTTCAAAAGACAATCATGATTTGCAAGAACATTTTCTAAGCAAGCTTAAAACACAGGAAAATGAGAAAAGGTAAAAAGTGCACACGATGTACAATTTCAAATTCTATTATGCAACGCATTCTCCAGCCTTAAAATATAGCCTCCCAACCAAACAAGTACGTGTTGTAAGGGTGAAAATGCGCATGTGAAACTGTAAGGTTACAGATGGGACATCTGAACATAACGGCAATCTCCAAGTGACTAAAGAGTCTTGAAATCTTCCCAAACAAGCCGCATTCAAGAATTCCCAAATAAGTTTAACTGTTCAAGTCATTCGCATTGAAGTCCAACATGATACCAACTGAGCTATAAACAAGCCCACAAATAAATAGCTGAAAGCAAATAGCCACTGCTGGTTAAAACAAAACACACTCACACACACACACACACACACACACACACACACACACACACACACACACACACACACACACACACACACACACATATACACATGCTGAGACCCACAAGAAGTAGATAGTCGCAGAGACAACCAACAAAACAAACTTATCATATAAATACATATACCTGGCAATGTGTTTGCCTGCAGGAAAAAGGACATCTTTTAAAGTCCAAATTCTATTTTCAGGCAAACAAGCAAAATAATCTGCGGTGTAACTTGGACACCGTGTTGGAACAGTAACAGCACTTTGCAGTCAAAATATTACTTGCAAAAGTCTATTATATTAAAAAAAATAATTTGTTAGGATGTCAAAAGAATTTTTCTTCCTAAGAGCTGGAACCTCATTTTACTCTGTCAGCTGAAAGAGATAAAGAATTCACTCAAAGCTTAAACAAACCTTGGAAAGTCTGGTTTTTCAGATAGCCGCAAAGACTTTTAGCCTGAGCTAAGCGCTGTGCCTGAGAATCACAAGGGTGGGTTTTGGAGGTTGCACCTATGTCAGCACAGTGCCTGTCTGTCTTCCATTGGTTGCCAAACAAATTGGTATTATACTCTTTGATCCCTTGAGGTGTAATGAAATCATTACTCTGTTTTCCATCGTAGGTACCGCACAGACCTCGAGTCTTATTCATCATAGAGGGTGGTGCCTTGATGTACGCCCTTGTCCGTCCATCCCACAAGACTGTAATGCCGTTGTACAGTTTAGCCTGACAATGCAAAACGTATTGTGTTGACAAAAACATACACTTTTTTAAAGGTAGACCTACTTAGCTATAAGGACACACAACTGAACAGCCCCCCCCCCTCCCCTTGATGAAATGACCAGCTGCTCTTATGCTTTTATTGGTGCCGTATGAAGATAAACAATGAATAAGACAATTATTTTTTTAAAAAAAGGAAATCGATTCAAAGCGTTCACCCCCCGCCCCCCTCTCAAGCTACAAAGGGTTTTTAAAATTTGATTATTGAACAATAATCCAGAATCAATGGACAGTTCCACATATAAGTTTCTCGGAACCAATTATAAACCGTGCGCAGACAGACACTCTCGTAACTCATAATTATTTTTGGGTAGTATTGCAAAGCAAGTATTATACACTTCTCAAATAAAATTTTAAATGGCACAAGACATGTTTAAACAATAACTTATATGGCTGGCAAGCTGTAGTGCATGGCTCAACCTTCTGGTGCGTTCAAATATCCACAAAACGCAAAGACTGAGAGGAAACTATAAACGTTGGCTTAACCGGGAACCCTTTTGGTGGCTATCCCATTAAAGACTACCCCTTTTGAGGATTGCGACATTGTGAGTTACGTTGCCACAACAACTACGACTGTCGCTCATCTATACTTTTGGTCTCTGCTGTTGAGCAGACCCTACTTGTTTGCCAGTTGCTGAATTCAATTGACTAATATCACGCAGTGCAAGTTTTTCCTTCTTGACATTCACATGACCACACACTGACAATTCTTATTACAGTGTTACCTGCATAAATAGAGAAGACACCATGGACACTTGGATTCCAGGTCTTGCGAAAGGCAGAGAAGAAACTTCACGTCCATCAACGACCAGCTGATGATTTTTATCCAGATTCACAAGGCTTCCATCGATATCAATGGTTACTGATTTAGTGCATGAAGACCCGCCGTGTCCACATCTAAACGCCAAAAGATAGACAATATCAGACATTTTTTTTCATATTTCTTACTCTTGCACCTTTACATACAATGAGCAAGTGTTACCAATCTTAACTTATGAACTCCAAATCAAGTATGAACTACAATAGTAGCATCCTCTTGACAGTATATAGAGTATTTTAATAGTAGGTACTACTAAAAACTTGTAACTGAACTACTGTACAAAGTTATTTAGACGTAATTGCATTTTTGTAAATCTCATCAGTAATTACATGCATGGTTGTGAACAAAAGGAATTCAACTCACCGCACATTGTTCACAATGATATCGAACTCGGAATTCTTCACCATGTAATAAGAGCACATGCCCATGAAGTCAAATCTCACTCCATCAAACGTGGTGTAGTGAGGATCTCCAGAGGCAGAGCAAACCTTGTCACATGTCTGGTGAGTGCAGTCCCATTGACCAGCCTTGCAGGTGCTGTTGGGATCAATAAAAGAAAACAAACTTAGAAAAGTTCCACGAGCCCCTTGAAGCACAGTGAATTTTCAGTCATTTTTATCTCTCATTTTAGGGACGGTGACTGCTGTATATTACAATGCTGAAAGGAGGAAAAAGGGGATAAGCTACGTTTTAATACTCAAATATCTGGACTATCAATAAGTTGTAGGCCCAAGAAATATTACACAATAACCTAAGTTGAACTGTAGTGAGGGCACATAAAATACCAAATTCACATACCATGTGTTACATTCTTTTTTAATGATGTGTCCTTGTTGATACTCTTTTCCAGTTCCTTGCTCTGCAGTCAATGTGCATGGACATTCCTGTTTCTGTATGCATACACCATTGTGTAATGCATAGCCATCTGGACAGAAGCACCCATCGATGCAGGTGGGGTCAGAGCAGGTAGCACTGGCACTGGAACAGTCTTCGATGCATGAACTGCCGCATTCTTTGAATACTTTACCACCATCACACTGGATTTCTGAGGAGACACAAAAGGATACATAATCTTGACGCATTCACTTCTGTGGGCTGATACAAAACTTTTAAAGCAAGCAAATGGAAATTTATCACTACCATTCCAACAAAATTTTAACATACTGCTTCTAACAAGACATGGTCTGTAAGAGTTTCACCTCTAAGAATATTTAACGAGCTCAGTCATATAAAATAGTTCTTTCACGTAGTTAACCAGTTTCTTAGCATGACCCTCACTTATTCAAACTAACAACTGAAGACACCGACAAACAGATAGACAGGGACATATAGAAACCATTTCTCCAAGAACAAAGCGAGAACATTTCCCTGAAAGCCCGATGTTGATAAAAGGGAATGAACACCAAAGAGACATTCAGGCTTGGAAACATTGAGATAAATAACAGAAACAAATGACAAAACCGTTATAAAGATTAGATCGACAAATATTACAACTAGTAGCAACCAAAGCCATCTTTACGAATTAAAAAGTAATCTTTAACTTAAAATATTGCCTCTAACAAAACAAATCAATGATCAGAACAACAGTACAGTGCGCATACCGCAACGCCCTGGATTTCTCCACGAGAGTCTGACACCAAGGTCCACACATGCTCTGGAATATGCTTGCATTGTCTCGCACATACACCCAGCAGAGTCTGCGCTACAGCAGTCAGTTTTGCAGGCCTCTACATAAGGTTGTGGGTCGACTACCTATTAAAATAAAGAATAATTGGAATCCTTCTAATATACCCGAAACAGAAGTATCAATGAGCGGAAGCGAATATTGGGTTTGGAGGCAATGACAATAACAGGAAACAAATTATTATCAAAAATTCCAACAATGGTATTAAATTTCTAAAATTGTAAAGTGACAAAATTGCATCATACAACACACCGTATATTTCTCTGAAAAGGCAGACTTTCTTTGAGCAGCCATCTAGAACAAAAGAGCTGCTAAGCCAATATGTTATTATGGGATTAGTAGTTATAATGATTTTAAAAAATAATATGTATTAAATTTGTACCAATTAGCTGTTGGTATCGCACACTTAATTACTACTTATGATCAGATTTTATTTTTTCCAAATTAACTTCAAGCCTTGGGTGTCACATTCTTGCCGTGAGTCACAGTTTTCCTTAACATAAGTCAACTGTGCCCCTGTGCAAAGGAAAGCCTTTATTAAAAAATATCCCAAGGATCACTTCTTAAGACATTGGAAATCATACCGAATGGCAAAGTTTGAAAGCGGGATCTGTGAGAAGATCTCCACATTTGGCTTGAGCACTCTGTTCGACAAGATCGTTGCTGCATCCGCTGGTTTGTTGCAAGTCCAAGCATACAGGGCCTGGCACACAAAGCAATAGAATATCTTTAAACAATCGTTGTTCATATCAAGGCAGAATTGCTGATATCTCAAAGAAAAATATTTCTAGTTGCTAAGAAGGACTATTAACATTACTAGAAAATAAATCTTGTTAAAACTACATTTCGTTGCCCAGGTTGCAAGTCATGGAATATACCACAATAATTCTTGGTACAACAGCAAACCTAAAGTAATATTTGAAGCAAGAGCTGGTGATGAGATTGAGGTTGTGAATGAAGAACATCCTATTTTCAATATACTGTGAACTCACTCGACAGATAAACAGCTGAGGTGAGGAGAAGAAAAGGAAAATAAAATTCATACCATTTGACAGCTTCGTTTTCTTCCAGCTGTTTCCAAAGCTGGAAACTGAGGTGACAACTTTTCCGCTGGCATTCTCAAAGTCATCACGTGGGTTTCCATTGTAACGACCACACAAGCCACTGACTTTTCCTTTAAGATTGTCAGACACCTACATATGAAGAAAAACAAGCAGACCTTAAATTACTTCACGTACTTACATTATGCACACAATGTTACAGCAATGATAGAAACAATAACAGGTGTGTCCATAAAAGAGGATAATGAAAATATAATAGAAATTGCAGTAAATACTAAAACAGCATGGAGATTTCTCAGAAAAGATGAAAAAAAAAATTATAAGACTTTGGACCTGGTTCAACTATACCCATAACATAAATTACAGGTAGAACATGACAAAAAAGAGGGACAGTTTTATTAGAAAGAGGCCCAGCAGTACTTAAAAATATAACATCAAAATTGTTACAAATTAATACTATACTGTGGATCTCATCACACAATAGACGAACAGTCAGCACCAAAAACTGAGGAAAATGCATAAGAAAGTCAAACCTCTGCTTGTTGTTATCCATATAACCCTTCACCTTAATGCAGTATTCAGTAAAAAGAAACGGTGCGCAAAAAGAGACTGCGTTTTAGAGACAACAGCGTGGCGAATGTTAATTTCAACGTACTTAGAGTCGGAACGAAATCGCTTTTAAAAGCAAGTCCGTCATTTTTTTCTAATCGCGAGATTATCTTTATTGAACGCATGTTTTGAGAACTTTTGGGCAAAAAAGTGTTCACTATAAAATTAATTTCTTGTAACTAGTTTTGCTCCTAAAAAGTATCATTGGTGAGCTGTAACCCATATACGTATACAAAATGTTTGTGAGAAGCGGGAAGTGCTGTGAACAATTCCATTTTCCGCGTGAAGGAGATTAAAATTTGTAGTATTTTATATAAATTTATGAAGAAAAGTTTTTTTTTCAATTCTGGCCTCAGCCGTTGTGGAAAAATATTATTAAGTTAAGACAAATTGAGACAAAATGCTGAGCAAAGTATGTGTGGCGTTGATTCATCCGTTAAAAAGATATTTGAGGATAAGTAGCGCAACGAATTTTTGAAAGTATTATAGTATTGATTTACTGCCCACTCGTATTACGGATAAATAAATTATTGATTTACTACATGATGAATATTTATTGTATAAGATGTATCCTCTTGAACAACAAAACAATATTTAAAAAAAGAAAACAAACCGTAATAAACACGGACTGACTACCGTCCCACTTCAGCGTGAACTGCAAGGGACTTTTGACTGTCACGTAGCTTCCAACTCTTTCTATAACAGTGCCTGTCCTGGAGCCTGGGATATTGAACCTTCTCTCATTCCATTCCACAATGGGCCCAGATTGTGCAGACCTCAATCGGACAACGTTGTCGTCTGAAAACAAAAGATGTCAACTTAATGTTAGCTAACGGGTCGTAAAATACGTCGTCTTTCCAGTTCCATTATTTCAGGATCACCGAAGGCCATGAAGTGTGACACCCAAAGAGAACAATCTGGTATTAAATATTACCTAAAGAAGGAATTCTAGCCTCAGCATTATAATAAGATTTACTAAAGCACTTAAATGGTAAGTGCTGATTGTGAAGACCTCGCTGTTTTCAATTCTTCTTAGAAAAAATGATGCTAAGTATAATAATTTGGTTTCAAGTCAATAAATGTACTTGTCTAAAATTCGTCAAAGCGCAAAATACGCTGGAAAGGGTATCGTGGGAGTGTGCAGGCCAGAAAACATTTAAAATAAGCCTTCTTTAAAAGTAGAATAATAAAAACAGTTGTTTAAGTTTAAAAAAAGAAAAGAATAGTTTCTCAGTGCATCCATCATATCAAGAGCATGCCACTCAGAGTTGATATCTGGGTGTGAGACCAACAGAAGATAGGATAATTTCTTACTCACTGCAACACATGCCAGGGCAAAGTTGAAACTGGTTGTTATTTAACTCATTGTATACAGCCAGCTAGTTCAGCCGGCTCAAGGTATCACTCGTTTAAAAAAAAAAAGTCATAACAAAAGTCCACTAAACCTCAGCAGATTCTTCTTATCTACAACCACGTCATATGTTAACTGATTGGATCATTCATTTCTCCCCTGTTCGATGTTTATTTTCTATGAAAAAAAGGTTACAGAAGAGCTGGGAACTTTCTGATGTTGAGAAATTAGATGACAAAACTGGCTGCGTACATAAGAGGACTAGCTTTCCGTATACTTACAGTTAACGTAATATGATAGGTTATGAGATAAAATAATAGTTCATGTCAAGAGAATAAAAAAATTGGCTTATAACCCATGGTAGTAGAAGACAGAACAATGTTACATATTGCAACTTACTGAAGTATATCTCAATATCCCTAGTGCAGTTCAATCCATCCACACATATCTTGTCGTTGACTGTCATGATTTCGAAATAGTTGGGCACGTAAGCCAAGACGTATTTGCATGTCCCTTGGAAGGTGAAGATTTTGTTGTCAAAGGTTCTGTAGTGACTCTGGCCCCAGGCTGCGCACAAAGCTTGACCATCGTGACTTATGACGGCCAGTGGATCTGCAAGGACGTATTGGTAAACTCTTCAGTACTTGCATAACAAGAAACATTGCCTTTTCGGTTCATAACTTGGAAACTGAAGGAATAATAATATATGTACCTAATTGGCGTATGTTTATTGACAAATGGCATGTTGCTATTCATGATGTTTTTTATGTTGAAGGGTAGCAGTGGTGCTGACCTAACCAAATTGTCTATAGGACCGTGAAACATAATACTATACTCAAACTTAAACTCAATCATAATTCGTGCCAAGAATGAATGACGACATGGTTCAGCCTTCCAAGTCATGGTGGGCGGCTCTGTGATGGCGAGAGATGCGATAGGAACGGTGGTGATACTGGTAATCGTTGTGGTGGTTGCAATGATAGTTATAGAGATGAAGACAATGAAGTCAGCGACAAAGAAAGAAAAGAGAAAGGGGGGGGGGGGGAGGATAGTAAGACGCATAAAAGTGAGTTGCACATTAAGTCTTGTGGCTAACGGTAAGAGAAGGGTATTGAACTTGGAAAGCAAATTAAGCGTGCAAACAAACCGAAAGGTCAAGTGAAAAACTGGATAAGTCCATTAAAAAAATCAGCGTTCTTGCGCTTAATTTATAACAGTGCACTTAAAATATTTTTATGAAATTATTCAAGTGAAAAAGCAATTAAATCATTCACATTCATAACAGCAAATCAAGTTAAGACCTAAGGATAAGCCATGTCTATAATTTAAAAGCTATCTTTAAGTCGTAACAGGATTAATGGGACTAAATCTGTTTTTCACTTGACGCTTCCAAACATTGAACTACAACAAAATCGAGCCAAGTGCAGATTTAAAAGCTTGCAAATATTTAGTTGTCTACTGTTGCAACAAAGAAACCAAATTGTTCTTATATGTGGGCTTAATTGTTTTTCTGTTTGTTTCTTTAAAAATCGTTTGTTATGATGTTCATGGCTTTATTGTTGATGTCCTTAGTAAGGATGATGATATTGCCGCTTCTGCCACTGACTATGATGATGATGTGATGATATCTGCACGATGTTTACAGATGGGGACAAAATCATTGAGACAGATAGGGCTCATGTTCCCGGGATAGCGGGTGGGCCTCTCGTCACTGAAAATGATCTTGTTTTGGTTGAAGTGTTCCGATTTATAGATCCACACCGGTTCTCAGCAGGTTTAGAGGAGCTGGGTTTTGCTATAAAGACCGTAAGTTCTCAGCGCAGTCAAGTTATTTTGATTTTTCTAATTTAACCGAAACAAGAAAAAGGAACAAACCGGCCTATATGCTGTTTACAATATACATGTCTACTTCTCGCTGTGACTATACATCTCGTCTGTTTGCATGCTTGTGTGCATGCTTGAGTGTGTGCGGGCGGGTGCACACGCCTGCTTTGTGTGTGAGTGTGTCTGTGAAAGGCTGTCAGTTGAGTACAACATTGTCAGTTGCCCACAACATTTTTTTTGGTATACACATAATAAATATGCCCTAGATCGACCTAAAACCTACCTATGTCGGTCTGTGTTCTTACGTTTACCAAACGCGTACGAAGGCGCCGTCACACAAGAATTTAAGGGAGACTGCAAAACCCTGGGTCTCTGGAGCACTTTGGTAAATTTATTAAAGCACGCATTAATATAACCTGGTCTTGATGTTGCCCCGTGTGAACCATCCAAACGACATCATCTTATGTAAGTCGCAAATCGTACACGCGTTCTTCAATGGTTGTGCTAGGCCTGTCAGTGTCGCTTTGCTAGGTAGGCCATGCAAACAGACACGAATGAGTAGTATATTATTATATTCTTTTAAAAAACATTATACAAAAGAGTTTAAGAAAACAGGTAATATTTTCTAAGCCAGTTTGAGTCTATCAATCATGCTCCTAGGGGAGACCAGACGGACTAGTTTTTGCTGTAAAGATCAATAGGCTTATTCCAATCTTTAAAAAAAAAAAATGAATAAAAGATCAGTGGCCTGTTCAAAGAAAACTGCAGAATTTTCCTTACCATTGCAATAGTTTTGCCCTTTGATGGTATTTGTTTCGTTACACGGGGCCATCAAAAGTTCAACGCCTCGTAAATATATTTTTGCGCTTGACCAGTTCCTTAGTTTCCAGTTTATGAAAGATTTTCCCCCGATCAACACATCACTCTATTGGCAGAAGCATGACTTAAGTGATTAGCGTATAACTGTAAAATTACGACGCTTGGGCACGTTTCAAATGAGATGTCAAAGATGTTGTATGTAACGTGGATTTTAAAAAAATTATGGTAGGCCGTCTTGAGCGAGTGTTCTGCAGCAAGACGGCCTTGAACTTTCGTTTTTGATATTCAAAAGCACAATACACTCATTGAGAGGTGCCCATTAAAGTTTGCTGAATGCAATTAATATGAGCCTCTGTAACTTGTCTCAATAATTTTGTCCCCAGCTGCGCTCTCGTGTGCATATGTCTACCTTTACCGGGTCTTTTACGCTTTTCGATCGGTCGTCTGTCGACGCGCTTCTCCTCTGGTCGACTGTCGACGCGTTTTTCAGGCTGGCTGTCGACACTTTTTTCTGGCTGGCTGTCGATATGTTTTGATTCGGTCTGCGTGTCAGCATGTGTAGTTCCAGTTCGGTTTTCCACACGTGAAGTTTCGATCTGTGTATCCACACGAGTGGTTTCGGTTTGGTTGTCCACACGTGTAGTTTCGATCTGGGTGTCGACACGGGTAGTTTCCGTTTGGTTGTCCACGCGTGTAATTTCGGTTTGGTTGTCGATACGTGTAGTTTGAGTAGGTACGGTTTGGTTATCGACAGGTGTAGTTTCGGTTTGGTTGTCAACAGGTGTAGTTTGTGAAGTTTCGGTCTGGGTGTCGACACGGGTAGTTTGTGAAGTTTCGGTCTGGGTGTCGACACGGGTAGTTTGTGAAGTTTCGGTCTGGGTGTCGACAGGTGTAGTTTGTGAAGTTTCGGTCTGGGTGTCGACACGGGTAGTTTCGGTTTGGTTGTCGACAGGTGTAGTTTGTGAAGTTTCGGTCTGGGTGTCGACACGGGTAGTTTCGGTTTGGTTGTCAACAGGTGTAGTTTGTGTAGTTTCGGTCTGGGTGTCGACAGGTGTAGTTTGTGAAGTTTTGGTCTGGGTATCGACAGGTGTAGTTTGTGAAGTTTTGGTCTGGGTATCGACAGGAGTAGTTTGTGAAGTTTCGGTCTGGGTGTCGACAGGTGTAGTTTGTGTAGTTTCGGTCTGGGTGTCGACAGGTGTAGTTTGTGAAGTTTCGGTCTGGGTGTCGACAGGTGTAGTTTGTGAAGTTTCGGTCTGGGTGTCGACACGTTTTTCCTCTTGACGAGTATAACCACGACTTCCCCTTTGCCTGCTATCCACACGACTTCCCCTCCGCCGGTGGGCTATGCCCCTTCCTCTCTGGCGACTATCCACACGACTTCCTCTTTGGCGACTATCCACACGACTTACTCTTCGTCGATCGGTAATGCCCCTTCCTCTCTGGCGACTATCAACACGACTTCCCCTCCGCCGGTCGGTTATACCCCTTCCTCTCTGGCGGCTATTCACACGACTTCCTCTTCGTCGGTCAGTTATGCCCCGTCCCCCTTGCCTTCCGCTGACACGGCTTCCCCTTCCACGGTTGCTGTCAGTTTGAACTTTTTTACACCTTGCCCCCTGCCCGTTGTTGTCTTCACATTCTGGTGTAGAGGTTAATGGTTTTCTTCTTCCCGGAGGATCGACGACAGTTTTTTCAGTAGTCACCCTAACCTGAGATGTGGGAATGACTTTTTCGGTCGTACTGCTAACTATAGAGGTGGGTACAACTATTTCGGTTGTACCGTTAACAAAAATTGTGGGTAGGACTGTGGTGGTTGCATTGATAACAGAAGGAGAAGTAAGGATAGTTCTGGTCGTATTGATGGTTGACTGAGAGGGTACGGTTTTTACAGTCGCATTGATAGCTGGTGGGGAGAAGGGCGTTTTCTCGGTAACGTTGCTAACTTGACTGCTTTCAGTCGGACGACTACTAACATCTCCAGTCTTTCGATCGCTGTCAGGACGAAGTCTTCTAGTCCTGTCTCTCTCTCGGCTATCGACACGGCTTACTCTTCGCCGGCTATCCACACGGCTTCCTCGTCGCCGGCTATCCACACGGCTTCCTCTTCGCTGGCTATCTACACGGCTTACTCTTCGTCGGCTATCGACACGGCTTACTCGTCGCCGGCTATCGACACGGCTTCCTCTCTGCAGACGATCGTAGTACCTCCCTCTCTGCCGTCTATCGACAGGCCTTTCTCTTGTCCGGCTGCTGTCTACTGGTTGTCGACCACCCCGTGGAGGGGAGGTTACTGTTGTCTTCTTTTCTAAGGAATGGGTCGGAGTTATTTCTGTTGTACCTATAGCTGCAGGCGAGGGGGAGACTGTTTTGGTTGTACTGGTTATGGAAGGGGATGGGGAGACTTGGTCGGTCGTACGGACAGCTACTACGGAGGGTGTAGTTATTTCAGTTGTATTTACAGCAGGAGGAACGGATCGGATTGCTTCGGTCGTCCTGGTAACTGACGGAGAAGGGGTGACCTTTGCAGCCGTAGTGATGCCAACGCCGCTTTCAGTTCTACTATCCTTATCTTTTTTAACGTTGTCGACACGCCGTTTGTCTGTACGAAGTCTGTCAGTCCTTCCCAGTCTCCTGCTATCGACACGACTTCCTCTCTGTCGGCTACCAAGACGACTTCCTCTCTGTCGGCTATCGAAACGACTTCCTCTCTGTCGGCTATCGACACGACTTCCTCTCTGTCGGTTATCGACACGACTTCCTCTCTGCCCACGAAGTCTGCTGCTCCATCCTCTTCGCCGGCTGCTGAATAAAGGCAATCTAGGCTTCTTTGGAGTAGAGGTTACAGCCTTTTCATTTTCCGAAGGATTGGGGAGAGGTTTTACTGTTGTTCTAACAGGGGACGGAGTGGTGATGGCGTTTTCTGTTGGACTGGCGGCTGAAGGTGAGGGAACGTTTTTTTCTGTCACACCGATGGCAGAAGGAGGGGTGACGACCTTTTCTGTCACAACAGTAGTTGAAAAAGACGCGGTGATGCTTTCAGTCGTACTGATCGCTGGCGAAGAGGGGATTGGTTTTTCAGTCGTGCTTATAGTCGCCGGAGAGGAGACAACCTTACTCCCTCCCCTCTGCTGGTTGTCAACCGGTCTTCCCCTTTGTCGTGTGCTATCTGGTCTACCTCTCTGTCGTGTGCTATCTGGTCTACCTCTCTGTCGTGTGCTATCTGGTCTACCTCTCTGTCGTGTGCTAACTGGTCTACCTCTTTGTCGTGTGCTAACTGGTCTACCTCTTTGTCGTGTGCTAACAGGTCTACCTCTTTGTCGTGTGCTAACTGGCCTTCCCCTTCCTTGTGGACGAGTTCTTCTACTAGTTCCCCTTTGACGGTTGTAATATGCACTTAGTCTACTGCTACTTCTTCTGGGGGAGATTACTGATACTGTTTTCGAAGGGTTAGGAGGAGCATTTTTGATCTTGTCATTGGATGAAGGAGAGGGGGTGACCGTCCCCATTGTTGTCAGAACCGTAGAAGAGGGCGTGGTTTTTCCAGTCGTAGTTACTACTAATGACAGGGTGGTGGCGCTTTCTATCGAACTCATAGCTGAAGGGGAGGGAGCAAGTTTTGTACCCGGAGTTACATCAGATATTGTGACGGTTACTTTTTCAGTTGCAGTAATTCCTGGTGAGGAAGGGGTGACTTTAGTGGTTGTTTGGGTATATAATGGGGAGGAGGTGACTCTTCCGTTGGCAGTGGTGGCTGGAGGGGAAGGGATAAGTCTTTTGGTTGTTGTTATGACTGGGACGATTTGAGCGGGATTTCTACTTGGCCTTCCCGTTTGAGGGTTGTCAGTGCGAAGTCTACTGGTCCTTCCTTTCTGCCGACTGTCGAGACGACTTCCTCGCTCTGGGCTACTGACACGGCTTCCTCTTTGCCGGCTGTCAAAACGACTTCCCCTCTGTCGGCTGCTGACTCGGCTTACCCGCTGACGGCTACTGACTCGGCTTACCCGCTGCCGGTTGCTGTCCAGACGAACTCTAGCATTCCTCGTTGAGGAGGTTTCGGTTCTTCTGATTGAAGCCGGAGAAGGGGTGACTTTTTCTGCCGTGTTGACAACTGAAGTAGAGAGGAGGACTTTTTCAGTCATACCGGCAGCTGAAGGGACAGGGGTGACGTTTTCGGTTGTTCTGACATCAGAAGGAGATGGGGTGACTTTTTCTGTCATTCTGATAGCTGAAGGGGAGGTGGTGACTTTAATATTCCTTCCTGTGCTCCTGTTGCTGTCTGCACGAAGTCTTTGAGTCCTTCCCAGCTTCTGCTTGTCTGTTCGACGTCTACTCCCCCTTTGCCTGGACTGGCTTCTGCCTGCACGAAATCCGGCCCTTCGCCTGCTCCAACTGATGCTTGAACGGCGGCCACTTTTCCGGAGAGGGGCATCTCCTTGAACTGTGAGATTGAACTGTTTGCTAGTATATCTGACAAAATATCTCCTCTACTTCTACTCACGTGCAATTATCTTTATTAGAATTCATGCACATGCTCTTCTCCGTAGCTCGTTCCCCTTTAGTTTCCATTGTTACTACATGTACCAGGAAACTTGATTTATCCACTTAACATGACAACATCTTTAACCTCTCTCCTACCAATTTTTCTATTCATCACAAGCGTCAGTCTGAACTCTACAAAATGATGAGCTTCATGGAAGATGACTTTTCTTCATTTTCAATTCATTGAAGATGTCCAACGTCTGCTGTTGATTTTGCATTCTTTCCTGGAAAAAGGCGAAATTCTCATACTGCCCATACAATTTGTTTGGAGAGTTCACAGACTCTTCACCGGTCGGAAAAACAATTCTATATTTATCTCACCGTTAGTCAACGGTAGAAAAGTCTACTCTTTACGCGCTTGTCTCTACAGTTATTTTGTTAAAAGACACATCTAAGCAGTCTTAGAACGCGTGGAAATTTGCTCGAGGGATGAGTTTCAATATATACAAAATACTATCCTTCAAAGTTGATATCGCGGCCATTTCAATTTACAAATTATCTTCAAAGCTCAATATATCGAATTTACTCGTTCTTATATTTTTAAAATTCCAATGTAAAAGGCAGATTTATGATTGTCTCCGAATACGTGGACGACCGTTTGGGAACTCCGAGTCAAAACCACCTCCATGCCAACAGGATAACATGTTCCTTTCATCCCTCGTTTTTTAAATCGCATTTCTAAGCACAGAAACTAAAGCAACCTTCTCTAAATGAACGCACTTGAACACTTCCAAAGTCTCATAAAAACAAACCTACACAGATCATAACTTAACCTAAGCACAAACTTTCAGACTTACACACTCAAGGTAAAAACCAAGTCAACTTTGGGAAGAGATGACCACTGCGCAAATGAGGTGCCATTGTCTGCCCTCAACGCTACATACAACGATCCGCACTTTTTTCTGCTGCCTTCAGATAAGATGGTACAACTCCAGGCGTATAAAGAATCGTCCAATTGTTTTCCCACTAAGAATCTCTAACAAATACGTTGATTTCGTTCGATTACGAAAATTGTATTAAGGTAGCAAGGGTTGCAACAGTCTTCACTAGAAGGGCAAAAGAGAACAAAATGCGTATGACAAAAAGCAAAGCTGCAGTGATTTACGAAGCCTGCTCACTAAGCTCTAGCAGTTTCTGTTGTAAAGCTGGTTTATCGAACAAAAAAAAAGACCAGGGATGACCGTAATGAAGAGATTCCTTATTATAAAATTATAAAAGAAAAGAGAGACCAAGACATGACTTCAGTTTGATCGCAAAAGGTTGCAAGATTAAGCAAATGAAAGTCCATCAGACAAATTATAAACGTTACCTAGAGACAAGTGGGCGGGAAAAGGGGGGGGGGGTATGTTAATTGGGACCGGATCTCGGGGATACCCCCTACTTCATACTCCCCATTAACCCCTGCTGTTTGGGAAGGAGAAAACCATTAACCATTGTATTCAATTGTTTCGATCGTTGGCTATGACAAAAAAGCTGAATTATTATGATAATGATCATGGTTATCATCATGCCCTCAGTAAAAGTATCATGAAAAAGCTGGAACGTTTAGTGTAACATTTTGATGAAATCTTGTTAAAAATCTTGAACTTTCTTCTAAGAAATTTAACTTGCTCCTATATCAAATAATGATGGTAATGATAGTTTTATATCGTGAGCATTAGACGAAAGTCTTTCGAATTGCGTAATGAATGAGGGAAAATCTTTGTGAACTGTTCGTCTAAAGGTAAAAATCATAGCCAAACTGATGATGATGATGATGATGATGATGATGATGATGATGATGATGATGATGATGATGATGATGATGATGATGATGATGGTGGTGGTGATGAAGATGATGAGATCATCATCATCATCATCATGATCATGATCATGATAATAACGAGTGGGCAGGATTTAATTCATACAAAAGAGCAAGCAAGCAAAAGGTAGGGATCTGTAACCAGGAAGACGCTTGTCTCCAGGCTTTACGCTCACCTGGCAGGCACTGTGGTGCTGTCGCGATATCGGGCAGCCATTTTCCGTCCCCTTTGCACACGTAGCTCTCCGCAGGCTCCGAGATGTAGTGGAAACCTGGAGAGCAGGCGACAACGCAGCTTTTCCCGCCATTGGGTTTATCAACACAGGACGCTGTCACGTTCGCTGGCAGGTCTGGAACTATGCACCGAGCTGCAGCGTGATGATAACAAGATAGGATGTACTTTTTTTTGGAGCATTGTAGTATCAAGTGGCTTGGTAGGTATGTAAGTCGTTGATGTCTTAGATTTCTTCTGGGTTATCACAGAGCCAGGCGACACCTGGCAGTCACAGCGATTCTAATTAAAATGCCTAGATGTAGCACTGCGGAGTATTCAGAGAGAGAGAGAGAGAGAGAGAGAGAGAGAGAGAGAGAGAGAGAGAGAGAGAGGGAGAGGGAGAGAGAGAGAGAGAGAGAGAGAGAGAGAGAGAGAGAGAGAGAGAGAGAGAGAGAGATGGGGGCGGGCCGAAGAGGCAGACAGTGTAAGCAAAGAATGCGTGAGAGTGAGTGATAAAAAGAAAGTGACAGAGAGAAAAAGAGAGAGAGAGCAAGAGTAAGCGAGAGAGAGAGAGAAAGCTAGAGAAGAGAGAAAGAGAGAGAGAGAGAGAGAGAGAAAGAGAGAGAGAGAGAGAGAGAGAGAGAGAGAGAGAGAGAGAGAGAGAGAGAGACGCGTCAGCAAACGGAGGGTAATAGACGCTCACAGATCTGCAGACTGACCAAAACGAAAAGTAATAATAGAAGGCATAGGAGTAAGTCTTATATTTCTTTTACAAACTAGGAGCCTAAAACTGTTCAACTGTTTATCACATTTTTTCCCCTGACTAAGTGAAAAGAAAATGCCCCCGTGTCTTGCCGGCGACTTGTCACACGGACTGTTTTCTGAAGTCGCTAACTCCTCAATTTGGTCTGCCGTACTATCAGAATGAGTAAATCTTCGAGTTCAGGAAAAGTAGCTCAAAAATATTTTTTAAAAATGAAACGAAACAAAACAAACAAAGCTGTGAAACATTGACTTTGAATTACGATCTTCCGATTAACATGCCAAATCGGTCAGCAATTATATTGGTAAGTCACCTTCTCGTAAACAAACACGACGTGCTGTGCACAAGAAGAAACAAATTCAAATTTTCAGTCTTTAAAAAAAAAACACGTAATCATACTTACGAACACAAGGCGGGGTTGTTGGATCTTCCCGGAAGCCGTATGTTCCATTGTAGCAGATCTTGGAAATGCGATCCTCTTCGATGCCATCAAACCGATATCCGTCATCACACGTGAAAACGCATAAGCTGGAGATGAAATTATATAGTGTAGTTGTTTTAGAGCTTTCGAGCCAGACCGTCATGGGAGATAAAAACAATGAATGCAATTTTATATTATCATTAGAAGCTAACCTTTTCAGAAGTCGAAGTCATAAAAAGGAAAAGGGAGACACTAATGCTATCCCAAACCAACGTTTCGACGATCAATGCAAATCTATACAGGCACTAGCCATCCATTTTCAGGTGTCGTTATAGCCACGAACTTTTCTAAAAGAGGGGCAAGTGCAAACAACAAGAAACAAACCAACAAACAGACAAACAAAAAACAAAAACAAAAACAAAAAAACCCTAATAAAACAAACCCCTCCCCAAGTTGTAATGACTGTAACCTTAGTATAAATGCATGTTTACAAACATTAATATTATCATATATATATATATATATGTATATATATATATATATATATATATATATATATATATATATATATATATATATATATATATATGTATATATATATATATATATATATATTATAATAATCATTAACAGAAAATATACCTATGTAAACATTTGATAGAAGGGGGTATATTGTACCGATTAAGAGGTACAGGAGGCTTTTTTTAAATGAAAGAGAACAAATAACCAACAGAAACAGGTGTACTCACTAGTTCGACTTCAACTCTTCACTAATGTAGATGTAGTCGCACATCACTTCTCCATTTTTGGGAGCAGGGGGTGTGTAGCAAACTGAGAAGTGTAAGTCAATATCATTTATTACTAAATAGGTCTGTGTGATAGAGTGAACATACGAGTCTGTGAATAGTGCTTGAAAGTGAGGTAGAAAACGATAATCAAACAGACAAATACAAACAGATGGATAGATAGATAGATAGATAGATAGATAGATAGATAGATAGATAGATAGATAGATAGGCAGATAAACGGAAGGGTGGAGGAAAAAGCCAACAAGAATCTAAAAAGTACTGGGTTTGAGAGAATAATCAACACACCTAAAGGAAAGCAGAGACTATTGTGATTGGAAAAAGGTAGGACTTTAGTATCGCGTGTTAGGTTATTTATTTGCTCGTTTGTTTTTTGTTCAATTAAAAAAAAAAATTAATCTGTAGGTTACTTACATTTTGATGGGTTGCCGAAAGATCTGAAACAAAAAGAGAAATATTGTTTAAGTCCACTTTTCATAGCTGGTTTAATATTGCCAGAGAGAAAAGAAAATGTTGACTACTGAGACTGGAATGCACCCGAGTTATTTGGGAACAAAATTACTTTTGAGGCGAATTTCAGTCAATAGACAACTCTAGTAATACATGTATATTTTGAAAAATTGTACATGATATTTCTTTGAAGCATGGAAGATAGTTATATTCATATAAATTAAATGATTTACATTAATATAATTTTCAACTCTGTTGCCAGTTCCGGTAGGTTCAAAGCAAGCATGTCGTGCTTCAAGGACATACCTCAATGGTAACCAATGCACAAACAATCTATTTAAGTTCGCAGTTACTTGACAATTTCCATTAACCTTTCAATGACAAGACCCTGCATGACCCTAACCCCCACCCCTCCGCCACGGCAGATATTATGACTGATGTTATTGGCTACACATGTGGGCCTACTCCACTATGGAAGTGATCAAAGTAATAAACTAACAAAAAATGGGACATTTAACCCGAGTTTTGTATAGACACCCCCATCCCCACCCCTTATTTTTTTAAAATAAAAAAGCTAGAAAAAAAGGTCCACGTACAACCTGGAACATGTTTAACGAGGCCCAAGGAGGCTTCACGGTTGATTTAAACCAATACCAGCCGCACTGTTATCCAGCACGATGCCAACTTCGCTATCAGCGCACCCAGACAAAATAATGTGACCCCTTGTTCATTCAACTTGCCTGGTAAATGGACGGGCTGTTCGACTTATAATATATATTCCACCGACAAATTTTAAAATACTGTTTCTGATACGTGGGGGTCCCCTAACTTTGAATTCAAAGTGTGTAGCTAACAGTCAAAATAAATAGTTTAAGAAAAAATTAAGTTAGAATAAAATTATATCTTTAAGTAAAATATAGACCGGCATCTGTGGTGTAGCGGTTAGGCGTTTTTATGTTGAAGGCGGAAAACCCGAGTTCGATTCCCGAGTGGGGACAACATTTTTATTGAGTATCTCAGTCTTTCTGCTTGAATGTATCCCTCTCCTCTCTGTCCAGGTTGGCCCTGGCAGGCTGGGTCGGAAACCCGCCTCCTTAATGATCTAAATTGTGTCGACGGGGCGTAAACACACCTACATTAAAATCAAAGTCATGCGCAAAAGAATATTTAATTCTTTTGCTTCCATTTTCTTGGAACAGTATTAATAGCTTTGCATTTAATTTCTTTCTATCAGATTGTTGTTTTTTCTTCTGTAGAAGGAAGAGACTCGCTTTTAGTCATTGCATTAGTAAGTTCCTAGCAAGAACAATAGGGCTGCATTGGCTGTAGCCTCAAGTTACTCTACAGGAAGGAATAAAACAAGCCTTCCTCATGCGTTGATCGAACTGACACCCCCTCCCCCCCCCCCCCCGGTGCAACGGCGAAGAGCATAACCAGTATGCAACAAACAGCACAGCAGTCTCGAAATAGGAGGTAACGGAAACCGAAAACCGTCGTCTCTAGTTTTTTCAATGTGGCCACAACGGCTAATGTTGCTAGATAAGTAGTAGATTCAACATTCGCTCCTTCAATAAGGTAATCAAAATTAAGGGTTTTTTTTCTTGTTTTTTTCAAAATATGGAACCTTAGATCAAACATCCCTCTCTAATAATTCAAGCACAAAATGTGAACAACTCGAGAAGTCTCATAAGACCATCACAATTTAAAAAACACCTTTTAAAAGTTCAAAACGAAGGTTAAACGCACCACAGACCAGAAGCAAATAAGAGAATAAATAAATAGATAAATAATAGATAGATACATGAATAAATAAATAAACCATTTAAAAAAATATAAAAATATAAAAATATGATAAAAATAAATATGGGAAGGTGGGGGAATTCCACGAATGGAATTTCCCCGCATTATAAAATTCTTAATTAAGTTGAAAAATGGAAGTATGGGGATGGTGATATCGTCGAATTCCTATTATGTTTTCTTTCCTAACTTATCAGAACCAAAGTAAGACTGTTGTGGAGGATGTGTCCTCTTTCTACCTAAAGTAGCTTCTATAGCACTTGTCTCACAATCCAATTGAAAAGTATGGTGTGGAATTCCCCCGATTTACTAATCTATACGTGAAAAGAGTTTAAAGGTAAAACAGATGAAGCGATAAGTCATAAACGAAAATGATTTTAAAATAGAAGGATGTAAAATAAATAATGTTTTTAATGCCGATTTTTCAGTGTATCCGAACTTTTGCAACATCAGCTCAGATTGTTTCGAAAAGATCAGCGTAAAAAAATTTTTCATTTAGAAAAACATCTCAAGTTCATCATCGGTAATATGCTTTTCACCACTGGGTAGGGGCAACATGGAACGTTCGACAGCATTATTTTACTGCCGTCACTTGTTGAGTAAGAATGGTTGGGCTCATCCCAAGGTGTGGTGTTTGCCTTTTCTGCCTCAGCACCGGGATCGATTCCATGCTCATGCAGTCAAGATCGAGGAATATGTTTTTTCCCCGTCTAACTGCCGCGGAAAATGGGATTCAGAACATTGCTTTTCTGAACACATGTGAACAATTTGGGGATTTCTCGGGAACAATATTATGCTCATCAAGGACATCCTGGAGGTTGAACATCGAAGAAAAGAGGCCTGTCCAGGCTCACTGATGGGGCAAAGCAAGCATTCTAAATAATCTTTACGTAAAACTGGAAGAAAAAAAAAACTCCCGTCAGTATAATCAAAGTAGGGGGAAATTGTTTTAACGAATATTATTTATTTATTTTTTCAACTTAAGAAAAAAGAAAACTATTTCCAGCCGCAAGGACACATTATGCCTTTGGGGCAAAGGAGAAAAAAATGTCTAATGATCTAAAATTAGACAAATCGAAGCAAAAAAAAATAATTAAATGTCAGGGGAAAAAAGAACAGCACCGGAAGAGACGAACTGAAAGGCTTTGCAGGAAAGTCTAGTCTTTTAAAATACAAATAGAAGCAAAACTCACCCTTGAGACGAAACTAATGTCGAAGACAGAAGTATGACAATGGGTCCTAGTAGTGACGGAGCCATTGAAATGGTTGCCCGCTCTGGGGCTGGAGGACTTGTTTGTGCTCGGGGTTAGTGCATGTATATATGTAAAAGTAATAGGTTGACTGAGTTCAAACACTGGCTCTGCTAACCCGTATATATAAAAGGTATATACTTATTGTTAAGACTATATAGCACGTTGTTCAGTTTCAGCGCGCCAACAATCTAAACAATAACAGGGTAGCTCTGTTTGTTTGTGCTCAACTGCAGTTTAAGACCCCCAGTCCTTTTATAGAAATTTCCCAGTTCCAGCTCAGCCAATAGAAATGGATGTTTGGGAAAGGGGGCGTTCAAGAGCCACCTTGGTGTCCCTGTTAATTCCACGCTGCCACTGCCCAAATCGTGCTGATTCAATGACGTCTGATGGATTACATCCTAGCGCAGCAGATTTCCCCTCTTATCTGTATCACACTCCTCCATTGTCTCTTCTTCAGGGCGACCAAAAGGATCTGAGGATGATACTTGTAATCACGGGGAGAGAAGGTGAGAGTGCTTGACTTTTTTTCTTAAGGAAAAAGAATAATTCGGCTGCCAGAGCATAACCACCTCACCCCCCCCCCCCCCTTTAGTGTCGGTTTACAAGCGGCTCTTTTCCTTGCTGTTGTCTTCTTAGGGTTGTGCATGTTTTCGGGAACCCGTGTTTCTTGTTAGGATTTTTGTTTGTTTGGGGGGGGGGGGGGGGTTAAGACGACGTCTCTCGCTCCTCTCTGTCTCTGTCTGTCTCTGTCTCTGTCTGTCTGTCTGTCTGTCTGTCTGTCTGTCTGTCTGTCTGTCTGTCTGTCTGTCTGTCTGTCTGTCTGTCTGTCTGTCTGTCTGTCTGTCTCTCTCTCTCCCTCTCTCTCTCGCTCTCTCTCACTCACACTCTCTCTCTTCCTTCTTTTTCTGGCGCGCGCATGTGTGTGTGTGTGTGTGTGTGTGTGTGTGTGCGCGCGTGTGTGGTTGTATGCGTGTGTGTGTGTGTATGTGTGTGTGTGTGTGTGTGTGTGTGCGTATGTGTGTGTGTGTGGTTAGGTGTGTGTGTGTGTGTGTGGAAGGGGAGGTGTCTATAATTCAGAAATGTCGAAAACAAAAAAAAATCTCAAGGATATTTACCCAAAGAGTATTTCCGAGTACCCTAGAGTTTCCGATGAGTCTCTCATGTGATAAAGATCTGACGCCCATTGTTTTTTAAATGCGTCATCTACGCGAAAACTGAAGCATGGGTGGACGTTTTTGTACTTCGTTGATCCGGGTGGGCCGGATGGAGCTGGAGTAAGGAGCGTGAAGAATGGTGTGTGGTTCGATGGGTTAGAGGAGGAAGTTATGGTGCTAGAGGATGAGAAAGTGAGATAGTGGATCGTTTTTAAAAGAAAATCAACGTCATGAACTCTTTTGCCAAGTCGAGTACCGAGCTGATCACGTTTTCGAGTAGCACGTTGCATTAAGTTATGCGATGATGAACAAACCATAATCTTTTTCTTCAAATCCCCACTGTGCTACATATGATGACATAAAAATACGAAACCTATCTAATTGAACCACTGAATGAATTTTTCAATAGCAGAACCCAACTACTTTAAAGAATTCTACAGATGCATCCTCTCGATCTAAATTAGTAGTTAGTGGAAAAACGTGACATCACCCCTTTTTCTCTGTTCTCTGTTGTCTTCATTTACGTTAATCGGTGCTTGTCAACCTTTTTGAAGCAAGCGTCCACTTTTGCCAACATTTTCCCACCGTTCACCTTCATGTATCTGCAAGTGGGGCATTAGGGGATGCTCTGGTGTGGTTTGCTTGCTGTTTTCTATCAAACATCTATCGCCCTGACCTCTCCTGTTCCTTTTTACGTGTGTTACTTTCTTGTAACACCTCTAATTATAGTCACTTATACAGTGGCGTCCAAAAGAAACTTGAAAATGTAACCGCTCAATCATTGTGTTAAAGCCTTGCTCTACCCACTCATGTAGCATACCAATTTAAAGCTTAATGAATTCTGCAACATCTGACATATTAATAAATCATTTATGTTAGGAGACGCCCTAGATATGGTCACTCAAAACTGACCTTAAAAAATTAGGCTTGGCAAAACTGCGAAATCAAAGAAACGGGAACGTGTCTTCCTGCATGTATTGGGGAACATATTATATTGATAGAATGATAGAATGGACAATGCAGATCCAATGGATGGAGGATTCTGTCTCTGCAATAAACAATATTTTATTACAATACTTTCATACAAAACAGAAAACAGAACAATCACTAATACCACACAAAACTGGGTTTAAATCTATGAACGCATTGCTATTTTGCTTAGGACTCATTGGTTTTGTGTTGGGCACGAGCCCATTGGGCATTAACTCTTTTAAATTTTGGAAATAGGTATTTGTCAGTTCATCTCAAATGTCACTGTGAGTTGCAAACAAAGGGTCTAAATTGGGAGCAAAGTTGCTTTTCTTCAGCTGCTGTTTCAAGGTACTTCACATACATGTAGGATTCATATCGTGGCTATTTACTTGTGGCCAGACCATCCTTGGTGTGATTTGGTTTTCCCAAAATTGTCTAGGGGAATTGGCCCTGTGAGAAAACGCTTTGCGATGCATGGAAAAGTCAACATGAATGACACCATGACGAAAATAAGGGCAACACATGACGTTCCAGCACTTGCGCGTTGTAGTCCACTAAACCAAGCACCCGCTGATTCTAACGACGGCGGTTTTGATCATCGACCCCAGATCACCGCAAATCATAGCAGTTTCGTGGCCTCTGCTCTTCACTGGCTGATGATTAGGTCCTAAGTCTAACAAACATAGTCAATGTGCAAGAAAAGGTTTCGTGCTCTATACGAAACCAATAGCTCAAAAACAAAAACAAAATTATTCTAATGAGTACATACAGTGTTAAGGCCAGGTTTTGCGTGGTATTTGTGACTGCTATGTATGTTTTCCAACCTGTTTGAAGATATCATCAAAAGTTTCTGTTTATTGCAAAGACAACAACATTCTCTTAGGATTTGATATTCAATACATGTCCATTCCACCAATGTTGATGCACCTGAATACAAGCACAAACACACTTTAACAATTCTTAGATTTCGCACAACTTTGCCAAGCCTGATTTTTTAAAGGCCAGTTTTGAGAGACCATACATCAGATGTCAGATGATGTAGAATTTATTTGGCTTTAAAATGATATGCTGCATGAATGGGTAGTACAAGGCTTTAACACGATGATTGGGTGATTACATTTTCAAGTTTCTTTTGGACGCCACTATATTTATGACCTTATGGTGTTGTAAGTGACGTACAGCATTTACTATACCTGGATACATGGAGGTGTCATCTCTGACTCAAAGGTTGGCATGTAATGACCCTCCATCCTCCACTGTCGTGAGCTGCCGTTGCACATTCTGCCAGTCCATGCTCTTATATTGTCCATCCATGGATTCGAACCCAAGTTAAGTAACGCCGAACAGAGGATTCGAACCTAAAGTGACGGCGTGCAGAGGATTTGAACCCAAAGCAACGCCGTGCAGGGGAATCCAACCAGAAGCACCCGCATTGTAGCCAAGAGGCTGTAGAAATACTCAGTCATCATAGAAACATGGTGTCACACAGATTATTGCTCATAACAACTACATCTCTGTTACTTTATTTTCCTAGTCTTGTACTCGTTTAACACTCGGACCCAAAAGTAACTGCAAAGACATTTAGTATGTAAAAGGAGAGAAAAAGGGACAAAAAATCAGCATAAACTGCTTCAGAAGCAGCTGTTTAAAAACCAACTAATATCTGGACCAATCTTGTTATGCTCAAGACCAATCATAAAGCGTTATTTTGTACCTTACCTTTCAACTTCTGTATAATATATGTACAATTAATCTAATCAGAGAATAAACGCTTAAACCCCAGGCATATTAAAGATACTAAGTTTCATCAAATCTCCATTTTATCCATTTGAGTGCAGCCAGGTTTTCCTTCATGACGGGCAAAAACTACCATGTTGGCACAATTTGATGAAATGGTTCCAAAAATGTTTCAGTTTTGATTTTCATGTCCGCCATTTGATACGTTTGATGAAAACAACCGACGAGAGGGCTACTATTGCAGGGTCAAATCTGTTCATTGCACGAGGAATTAGAATGATTGGCTCCACTTGACAGCTGGGCTGAAGATAAATTTGATAAAACTAAGTGGCGACCAATTTAATAACGTATCATCATCATTATCATCTGGTGCCTTCCGACTGGCGTGGGCGTATGCGCCAATGTTAATCGACCCGGCCAGATCCAATCGGATTATGCAAATAGGTTCCAAATGACCAATGGGCACCCGCTGTTATTCACAAAGGGTGTAGGAACTACACTTTAACCAAAGTCCAAGACAACATTTCCATCTACTCATCATCATCATCCAGTGCTAGATCTGCAACAGACATAGGCGATCATGGTTCTCCATTCATTCTTTTGCTCGGATGCTCTCAAAAAAGCTACGTTTTCCTGATCTTTCCCTGTTACCCATTTGTTTAGGTTACCCAAGTATGTTGTTCTGGGCCTTCCCCTGCCTCACTTACCCTCAATTTTGCCAGTGAGAGCTAGGTGTTCAAGACCCTTATGTCTATTTATGTGTCCCCAAAACTACATTTGTTGTTTCCTGAATGTTTTTAATATTGAGCGTCCCACGTGGGCTTCATCAAGCACTACCTCATTTGATTTCTTTTCCTTCCACGATACACTTGGCAGTCTCCTAAGAAACCACATTTCTGTTGCTTCTATTTCATTTTCACTGTCTTTAGTGATTGTCTAGCATTCACAGCCGTATAGAAGGGTTGACCAAACATAGCATTTCAGAACTTTCATTTTGGTGTTCATTGAGATGTTTCTATTTTTCAGGAATGGGCTCATTTTATTGAAACCAGCCTTAGCCATTGTCATTCTCAGTCTTATTTCTGTGGAACATTTGGCATCAGATGTTATCATATATCCTAGATATTTAAACTGTTGGACTAGTTTGATCTTTTCACCTTTGCTAATGAGATTACTACTAGGCTGTGCTGTTTAAAAAAAAATATTACCATGCATTTTGTTTTCTTTACATTCAACAATAATCCTTTACGTTCACTTTCCGTTACAACAGTATCTAGAAGCAATTGAAGGTCCTTTTCTGAGCCTGCTATCAAGACACTGTCACCTACTACTTTGTTCTAAAGTAG